AAGGATCATCTCGGATTGCATGATGCAGAATGTGTCTTTTGCGCCTTCTAATGGTAGTTACATTTCAAGAAAATGTACTTAAGTCAGTTAGCTTCACTGCTCCCAACATGTTTGTCTGCATAAATGTGTGTGAATGGGTGAATGCTGACTTGTACATGTAAATACCATTCGAGGAGTGGAAAACACTGGATAAAGCGCTATTTAAATACAGTCCATTTACCATTTTGTGTGTTAGAAAATATTTGTAATGTCAAATATAATCCATAATAAGCCTATCCATCTTTTTTCTTGCTTTGTGTGTGTTTGTGTGAGGTTTGGGTTGAGTGTGTGTGTTTGTGTGTGCGCGAGAGAGAAACTAATTATAACCGCTGAGTCACAATCACTTTAACTCTCTAAGCATGAATAATATTGGAAGCAAACCGCCGTCGGGCAAAAAGTATATCTATAAAGTATTGCCCACAATTCATTTGAACGCCTTCATTTGCACACTATGCACGGCAGCGGAGTCAGCAGAACGTGTTGGTGTAGAATATGTTTTCATTCAGGTGTAAATTACACCCGGTCTGATTGAATTGGGAGAGACTCCCCTCTTGTCATTGGTCATAAATCAAAAAATAAATCTTTCCCTTTAGATTCTCAGACCGTGGAAGAGAAGGAAGGATGCAGAGAAGTTAACGTGCCAAGGAGGAAATCTGTGGGAGGGGAACATGTTGTTTAGAAGACAATGCTGAACAATGAGCTTTGTAATCCAAACAATAAAGTATCAATATAAAGTTGACACTGTGAAAACATCAGGTAGCGTCTTTGAGCGTTCATCCCAACTCCCAACCAAAATAGAACGGTATTACCAAATAAAAAATACATAGCTTTAATGCACTTAAATATAAATGATAATACTGATTCTGATATTAAAATCCATCTAAGCAGCGTGACAGTCAGGTGTGTAGGGGAAAAATATTATCCGCACTTGAAATCTACAGAATATAATTTAACATCTCGATTGGTCTCCGAACATTTCTCTGTTCTCTCTTTGTATTCTTATCCCCCCCCCAACATCCCCCCCCCCTTTTCGTCTTCCGCTGACTGTTCCGCCTTAGCCTCCCTAACACCAATTATACTGTGTCAAATCCATGCATGTCAGTTTCCAGATCCCTAATCATCCCTCCTCTCTTTCATCTACAAATCCTTTGTTCCTCCCTCCTCCCCCTTTTCCCTTCTCCGTAACCTTTCTTCTCCTCTCCTCACCCCACCCCTCCGTCTGTGCCGTGTACACTCGGCCCATCCTCCTCATCCCTTTTCAATTTATCTGTATCACATTTACCTCTCCATATTCCTTTGAATTACTTTTCTCCTTTCCTATCCTATTCCAATGTTATACCTCTCTCTTTTGCTCGGGGCCCCTTTCGGAGATGAACTGCGTTGGGTAAATATGTAATTTTACATATTGGTTTTTATGTATGAATAAGTCCTCGTGGGACTTTTCAGTGGAAGTCTCCATAATCTTACTTGGTTGGACCTTTCTTGTGTCTTTCTGTAAAACACATTGTTTACCTTGATGACGTGTTGGAGGGTCACTGGTTTGGTCTCCTCGAGTCCTACATCACAAATCCTTCTGTGGCTCCTTTTTCTATTGTTAGAACTCATCCACTGACCAAATCTGTTCATCTTTTGTTGTGTAGACCTATTTTAATTTAAGAATAGCACTGCTTACAAAGTTCAGCCATATAGCTCTGTTTTACATTAGAGTCCAGAGAGAAATAGCTCCAGCATTTAACTGCCCATAAAAATGCAGACTTTTACTATTTACAAGAGTACTACCCTAAAACGTAACCCTTACCCATCAGACAGTGCTGGAGATGTAATAATATTAGAAGAAAGCCTGTGGTCCAAACTGAGAGGTGGGCATTTAAGATAGGGCCGTTCTGATGGAATGTACTATTGAGTTGCATTATGGGAAGTGTAGGATCAAATGTTTTGGAGGCTGACCAAAAGGAAGCATGCCCATTTCTTTTTTCTCCACTTTGAAAGAAAGTTGGTTATTTTACAACAATGCAAAACACAGTCAAGCAAGACGAGTATTATCACTTTGTTAATTTCATTTCTTTAGGGCATTCATGGTTTAGTTTTTCAGTTTTTATTACCTGTTGACGTTGCCATCTTAGGGTAGAAATACCGTGAACGTAGTTTAACACATGAGAAAGGAAAAAAACGCACACCCTCGTCGGCGTTTCTGAAGAGTTAAATGTACATATTAAATATTATTAAAGTCAATCAACAAAAGAACAAGTAAAAAAGATTATAATAATTAAAGTAATAAAACAGCAAAATTGTAAGATAACAATAAATAATGAATACATACAAAAAAATAAAAAATAAATTCCTTGTAACGTAAACATGGTGCCCCTTAAGGAAGAGGTATGTTAGTTTAAGTAAAGGCTTTATGGTATTAACAATTCAGCAATGATCCAGATCCCATGTCTGCGAGGAGCTCCTGTCTCCC